CAGAAAAACAAATTCTTATGATACACTACAGCCAGCTGGATCTCTCTCTCATCTTCTTTGCTTGAAAAATGAGTTTATCTACCAGGTATTTAGGCAGATAACGCAGCCAGGAACCTGGGGGCAGCCCGTTAAGCTGCCGCCATCAGCAAGGTCCCGCCCCGGAAGTCATGAATAGTACAATATTGATGCCAGAATAAGACAAGTATGTGTGTGATGTTCTTTTCCTCTGCTTAACAAATAATGACCTCTGTGTAAAGAATTCTTGTTGTGACATTAGGGGTATGTTGCGAATATATATAAGCTTTTAAATGCAGATGATGCAATGCTATTGCTAATAATACAAATTATTTGCAGCAAATGTAATGCAAATTGGATAATGCAATGACAGCATTTATCTGAAAATTAATATAATTAACCCAAAGACTAAGGTAATAATTTTCTATATAGAAAATTGAATTATTTGATGTTGTACATAAATAACCAAAATAATGTTATTTTTTGTGTATTTGGATGGAATAGCTATATGCTTCTGCCCACTTTGTTAGTTAGTATTGAAAGTTGGCTACGTTAGAAAAAAACATAAAAGTAAATAGCTATGGGATAGCCTATCCCCACATAGCAGAGGAAACCAAGGAAGGCATACGTCTGTGTACTTTCTCAGAAGTTTAAAAGTTCATTAGTAGAGTATACTTATTCCTTCAATTGTACATTTTAAAAGCAATGAAAAGGCCAGTATCTTGTCTGGCAATACTATCTCCAGCCCATATCAACCTTTTAAGAAAAAGCTATTAAAATCCCATGTATAATCAAGGGTGCCGTTGGATGTTTGAAAACCTCTAAAGTTTTTCTTAAGATTTTCTTAGCATGTTGAACTGTATTTTCCTACTGAATCATCCTTGCAAAAGAACTAGCCAAGGTTGGAATTAATAGTTTCCTTTGTGACATTGATTACATACAGTTAATATGATTATTTCTCCATATTTCTTAATGTTCCCTTTTTCTTGCACTAAAATGGATGATTTGGTAGCAAGGTATAAGGATGGTGAGAGATGTTTCTGAAGCTTTGACAGGGGCTGCATATGGCCTGGGCCTTAAACTGTGAAACCTAGACATGCAAGAAGAGGGGAGAATTATTTTTTTTCCTAAAGAGGGAAAGGCACTTCCTCAGCACAATGGACTCTGGGGACTTTGTAGAGCCTAGGAGAAATTTGACAACACAGGAAACAAAGTTTATCGGAAACTACAGATATTCATAAACTTTCAAGCTGCAAATTCATCAGCTTGGAAGCATGGCTCTGGAGGATTGCTGCCTTAACATGCAGCTGCAAAAGCAAGATGCATATGGAATTCATGAATGAAAATGTTTTGAGGACTTATACAATAAGCCCATGTGGATATTTAGTTCAACTGGCTGAACAGTAAATATGCCATTGAAGGACAGACTACAGATAGTCCTCAATTTATGACCATAACTGAACCCAACATTTCTGTTGCTAAGCAAGACAGTTAAGTGACTTTTGTTCCATTTTACAACTTTTTTGCCACATTGTTAAGTGAATCATGCAATTATTTAGTAACACGGTTGTTAAGTAAATCTGGCTTCCATTTTAAAACATACTGGTTGAAATATGTTTTATGTAAGTCAACTTAATTAATTAGTTTCTAAGAAAAATTTAATCTGAAAGGTGACATTTAATTTTTAAACAAAGCTCGCAATTGAGGCTGTTAGAACTGCATTGTGTTTAGCACTTGTAGATTTCACTGATAATCTAAAGCTGTAGGTACAGTAAATAAATAAATAAATAATTAACTTGGTACCGTATGACAATGACAATTAGACTTGTGTTTCATCATTGCCTGATCTCACAAGATTTCATCTTCATGCCATAGATATTGATGAATGTGCCACTGGCAGAGCAGTTTGCTCTTTCAATCGAAGATGTATCAACACATTTGGAAGTTTTTATTGCAAATGCCAGATTGGATATAAACTGAAACACCTGAATGGCAGATATGACTGTATAGGTAAGGATTAAATTTGCTTTTGCCTATATTATGGGAAGATTGATACATCTTTAACTGATGTATTCAGTTAACATTTCACATATGTGCACAAGAATTACCGTAGCTGTATCTTTTCACAGTATAAAGAAACTGCTTTATTTTCCAATTTCCAACTTCAGTAATACATTTTACTTAACATTTCACGTTTCCCTTTTTAGATATAAATGAATGTATAGCAAGTACACCAAAATGTAACTTACATGCAGAATGCCTGAACATTCAAGGTTCCTTCAAGTGTAAATGTAAACTGGGCTATAGAGGCAATGGTTTTATATATATTTTTCAGGCATTTTTCAGAATATGTCTTTTCCGATGAAGGGTATTATACTCTTCTTTTATGTTTAAAACAGTGGGTTACAGCCCATAGAAAGACATTAAATGAATCAACTCAAGCAAAATGAGCTGACTGATGTTTTTTGTTTATTTTGGTGGGTTTTTTTTTTGCATTTTTGGACCTGCAAAATTAAGAGACAACACTGGGATCAGGTTTTCCTTTACTGAAAGAGTAAACTGCTTGTTTAGGTTATTCTATTTGCATTACTTCTCTCCTGTGGCTCCTGTTGTGGCCATAAGCCATCAGGTCTTTTGAAGGCATGAAAGTTGAGCCTCAGGGTGATTGCCTCCCCAGCCTTCAACAACAAATCTCTGACTTCTTTTATATTGCCTATGAAATTTTAAAAGCAATGTTCGATAATTGGGAAAGTGTTTTTCCCATTTCTTCTTCAGGGGGTTATTAGAAAATGCAATCCCCTTGTGGTTATATAATCTTGCAAGTGCACAACATTTTCTCAATAGAGAACTTTCCGGGAAGGCAATTGCTGTCTTTGAAATAGATATGACCCCCTTGCTTGTCTATTGCTAATTAATTTTAGAAAATTGCAGCTCTGCTCAGTTATTTGGATTACTGTATCATATATGCAAGAAAAAGGGGACTGTAAAGCACTGTGAAACAGTATGTAAGTCTAAGCGCTATTGCTATTGCTAAAAAAGGAAAACAAGGAATAGATCTGCAAAAAATAAAAATAGCCTAGAACACTTATCTTGGGTACATTTTATACTAGAGAGGGTTACCTACAAAGTTGTTTAGAAATGGCCCTGATTTCCTGCTAGTTGCTATATTTTCCTTTGCCTTACAATTGGCTAGCAATGTATAAGGATCTTAGTTTGGGGTTCAATCTCAGATCTATATGGAGATATTCTGCTTCACTGGTCAAACATCGTTTGTGGGCTTGTTTATTAAAGCACTGGAGATTTATCTTCTTTTGCTAAGAACAGATTTGTAGCAAATTAGGGTTTCCTCTATCATATCCTGAATAGATTCAGTAAACTGTATCTGTTAAATTACAATATGTTCTCTTATAACTTCTCTCTCTGGGAAAAAGAATTCAAGTGGACTAAACATGAACATTGTATTGTCATATAGACATCTGGATAAAAGTAATTTGAACATATTATCCATAGGATGGAGATATGTGTGATTACTTAAAAAGAATTTTAAGTAAGTAATAACATAACATTGGCATGTAGACATCTGGATGAAAGAAATTTGAACATATTATCCATAAGACGGACATATTCAGGTTTTCTCTTGCTAAAAACTGTAGCTAATGCTTCATAAAATGAATACAGTATTGCTAATCAGTAATATTGACTCCATACTGCTAATACTAATACTGAAAGTGAAATGCATTCATTGGAAAATCATGCTATTGTTTCTCTCATATTAAATTTTGAATATATTAGATTTAAAAAACCATAGAAGTATATGCTCATTTTGATTTTATATGGATAATAAATATTTTCCTTCATAGTTGCAATTTTAGTCAAAAGAAGAACATAAGAAATATTCAAAAATAAATTACAGAAAACACTCCTATCTCTGTCTTCTTTTTTCAATCATATTTGAACTACAGACATCAGGATTTTGGAGAAATTGGGGTGTCCCAGTGTCAGATTGTTCCAAAATCAAGATGGAATAGTTTTACTATGTGTATGATAATTTGGACATGTTTTGTTATTTCTGTTTCCCTAGTTGCTCATGAAAATTCTGTGAAAGCAATTCACAGAATGCCTGGCATTATCAAAGAGAAATGGAAGAAACTGCTTCTTCCCAAGAAAAATGCAAAAAAGCATGATGACATAAAAAATACAATCCCAGCATCTAAAGCTCATGTGAGTCCTTTAGACTATGAAGATGACTTGTATTTGGAAGGTGCCTTCAGTAAATGGGGGGAAAGCACTGAAGACATCAGAAAAGACAGAAAAACAATAGAACAAGAAAGTATTGAAGAAGAAGGAGAAATTGAACATCTCAAAAACCAGACTGTCCATGAAAAGAAACTCAGGGGAGATGTATTTTGTAAGTGTCACTCTCCCCCCCACCAAAAAAAATTCCATATGTTTATGGTAGTTTTTGATAGCACTCATCCAATAAATTAAAGGCAAAGCACTTTAAACATAAAGTTGGTAAATAGATCCTGCCAAATAAGGGGACACAATATTATGCCTTTGTTATATATTATATTCTTTAAATCTCATATAAGTTAGTATTCTGTACTCTAGAGTAGGGGCCCCAACCCCTGGTCTGTGGATGGTACTGTTCTGTGGTGAGCACGTAAAGCTTCATTTGTGCAAGTATGGGATTAGGTTGCATGCATCCTCTACCCCCCATCCACCTCCATTGCCAGTTTGTGGAACCAGAAATGTTGGGGACCATTGCTGTAGAGCATTTCTTATATCCTGAGATTATAGCTATAATAGCCATTAGGGTAACTGGGTATTAAATGATGATCAGTCTGAAATGAAACTTTGCAGACAGCTGCAGGAGAGCTGAGAAGAGAGATCACAACCACAAAGTTCCTCTATACTTATTCCCATAATGCCAATTTATTATTTTTGCCTCAATACACCCATTGGTTTTCCATGCCCCTGATGGCAATTGCCAGAAGTATGTGAATGGACTTTGATGGCTGATTCAACAAAGCTGAGAACAGACCATAGGTTATAGTGACCACAGCCTCAGAGGAAATATACTCATAGCAAAAGGAACATAGTAGCTTTTTTTAAAATGAATGTTAGTATTTAGCCACCCACAAAGAAACAGTGGGTGCGCAGTAACAATCTGACCTAAGTCTCAGATGCTGGATTCCACTACTGCTAAAGATGAAGGCAGATCATAGCATCTTCTTAGTTGTTCTCTTTTTTAAAAGAGACTGATGTATACATAACCTGGCATTGCTAAGGCTCATGACTTTTTATCTCTGCCAGATATGTTCTAGGATTTCTTCCTTATATGGGTCAAACTGTCTTTGAACCAGAGGATTATAGCCACACATGAGATAGGCGGCTATATAAATGGAATTATATATATAATAATAATATAGAATGTATTGTACTTGTGCTGATAAATAAATAAAGGGAGATTTATCATTTTATTTATTTATCAGCACAAATACAACACAAATGTAACAAAAAGGCAACAGTAAAAAAAAAATTGGGTTTCTGTCTGGATGGTCTCCTGTGACGAGCCGATGGACAGAGAATGGAAGTAGTGAACTTCCTCCCATATTTGGGCATAACGGGGGTTGTAACTCTAAATAAATAAACAAATTATNCCAAAAGGAGACCAGAGAAAAGCAACCAGATCGAAAGGAAGGGAGATATGATCGTGTTTGGAAGAGCAGGAGGGGAGGGAGGAGCCTTGCCCCTCATCAGGCGCTGCGAGCAAGCTGAGCGGAGGGAGGGAAACCACTGCCCTCTAAAGGCCACATTGGGAACGACACTTCAGAGAAATAAAAACTTTTTTAACGGTGTCCTTTTAAAATCGGGACTTTTTGAACATGCAGCGGGACATGGGACAAATTTTGAAAAATCGTGACTGTCCCGCCAAAAGCGGGACATCTGGTCACCTTAATCTACACTCAAAATACATCTCAAATGCTCGAACTGTGTTTGTTCTAGTACTGTGGTTGAGTATAGACCCCAAACTTCTCCATACAAGAGCATAGGGATAGACTTTAATTAATGGGGCTAGGGACCCCGGATAACTATGATTCTTTAGTTTAAGCAGTAAATTCAAATGAGCTTTTGCTCTAAGTGTACTCTGTTGATGGCAAACCCAAGATCCAGTCTTGGAAAAAGTTACGTCTAAATATACAAAAAGTGTTAACCTGTTCAATTGGTTCACCATCTAATTGCTATCTATGTCTCTGATGATGTTTTCCAAACACCATGATTTTTTATTTAGATTTAATAATGGTTAGGGAGTTATCCTGGGAATAAAAGCTGAACCTTCTTAATAGCCTACATAATCCTACTTGTGAATACGATAATAAAATCATATCATCAGCATAGAGCAAGCTGTTACAGTATGTATTTAGGATCATCGGCATATGTACCATGATAATAGTGTAGATTGCATTCCAGTGAATGGGGATAACAGAAGTAACAGAAATGGGCTTTGAGGGGGAAATTACTTAAATGAGATAAATAGATGGGTGGCTAGGCTTTTGGTCACCAAATGAGTGAGAATTATAACAGATGAATTTCTGCTTAGAAAAAGATCTATATCAAACTTATGATTTAATCATGTCCATTGGTAAGTATACATGGCAAACATGTAAAATTGAAAGACCTGAAAGACTAGGTTAGGGACAGATTGTGTTATGAAAATATACCTATATAGTGCTAGGAGATGATAACAATTTGATGCTGCATAATCAACCAGTCAAATGTCTCACTTAATGAATAGTACAATATTTTTTTTTGTATTCAAATGTTTTATTTTCATTTTTCATTTTCATTTCATACAGTCACATATATACTGTGCATGATTGGGGCCATATAACATTGGGCAATAAACACAGCCATCCTTGTACTCCCCAAAATACAAAACCAGTTTCCTTTCTCCCCTCCAACATTCCCCTCTCCTACTTCCCCTTCCCCTCTATCACTCCTTTCTCCCCCTCCCTTTGGGACAGTACTGTAAGTATTGTACAACCACCCCTTGTTTGTTGGCAACTTTTTATTTTTCCCTATCTGGACATCAGCCTTTTAAGTGCATTCAACTCAAGTCAGCATG